TACTCATTTGCTGCTTGCCGTAGTCATTTGACCATTGACTTGTTGGGGGGGGGCTTCATTGCATTAGTCTCATCCGAAACGTAGGCCTGGCCTACTGTTGTTTTTGGCAGGGGGGATAGGGGGGGGCTTTTCCAAATCTACCAGTGCCTCTGGTGGTGTGCTCTTGGGTTCAGGCGTGGAAAACATGAGCACGTCCCCCGCCCTGCCTCCCCCCTCCCGGTTTTACGCGTGAGCAGGGTGGCAAGCTACTTCACGACCCTGTGCTACGAGGTCGGGGGCGACGTGATGTCGATGGCTGATCTGGAGCACTGTGTCTTGAGGGCCAAAACGAGCCAGCCGAATCAGGTCCGTGTACACGACAACATGTGAAGGTTGTTGTTTTGGTTGTTGTTGTTTTCATGAATGATATGATAGTTTTTAATGATCATTCTGGCGGCCGATAGCACGTATGGTCCACCTGTTTTGCCCCATCCCGAGTGCCTGACATGGAATCTTGTCCTGTCGCCGCCCTCCGATTAACTTCGTCAAACTGCGATAGTTCCTGTCGAAGCTTATCATTCCGACAACGGAGTACCCCTTCTCTCTCCGACGGGCGGAACCACGGGTCAGCTTTGCTCTCAACTGCGGGAGTGTGAGCGGGGTGCCGGGAATTCTCATCTACAGGTGAGGAAGGCGCTGTTTGCTGTTGTGCGGTTGGGCTAAGTACACCGCCAACTACAAAGTGTCGCTGCATTGTAGTCTCTCGTCCGCAGCCTGCTTTCGCACTCGTCGTACGTAAAATTGCGGATGCTGAACATGGGTTGTAGAGGCTTGTGGCATGAAGTCGTACACACACGAATCATGCGCCATGCTGCTGGCGCACCGAGCTCAGAACGATATAATGCCTCGAGGATCAAGCATGTCAAATATCACTCCGGGGGACGGGAGGCCAGCGGGTGCGCAGACGTTGTAGGGCATATCTTGCCCGTGTCCGAGAAAACGTGCTGTGGAATAGCCACGAGTACACCCGCCCAACTCGTTGCGCGTGTTTGAGGATGCGTGTTGTGGTGTGTGTCTGGTTTGATCGCTGCTGCATGATTGTGTGTTTGATTGGTTGCTGCTGCTGCTGCTGCTGCCGCTGCTGTTGCTGCTGCCGCTGCTGTTGCTGCTGCTATCATCCCGACGGTGACGACAGGCCCGGGGATGTTCACCAGCAGCTCGAAGATGCCTCCACTTACTACGTCCAGACTACCACAGAGGTGAGGGAAGAGTGGGTAGGGGACCGCAGTTATATCTTGCAGGACGGAGGGAGTGAATGAGTGAGGGAGGGAGGGTCTTTGGGAAGTCCATCCTTTTGGTTGGCGTCAGCTTCCCGTCGACGCTTGCACATGTGCCGTGTGTGTCGACACTCTTGGCCAGGAAAATGAACTCATTTTCTATATTCTTCTTCCCCCAGCCGATGGTTTGTTGTTATACCTTTTGCTATGCTGCTACTTCCAACGATTTCATATTGGTGCAGGCGCACACGGCATGGAAAATGCATGTTTGCACACATGGCGACTCACCGCTTTCTCTTCATGGCTGCGTAATGGTGAAGCAACTTGAGCCTTGGGCTTTTGGATTTTCCCCAATATTTTTTCACCAGGTCGCGGCAATGCGGCCGGCCCGTCTTTCACCCGCAGACTCTCCCGGCTTTGGTGTCTGTATATTGGGGGTTGTACCACCTCTGATGGTGCCGCGTACTCCGCAGACCCCAATAGTCTGCTTGCTCATCTCGGTGCTGCGCGCGATCTGTCACGCCTGCGTGCGGTACCGCAGGTGCTATTCGGAAAGCGGACCGTGGTGCTGCCCAAGATAGTCCATTGGTACTCCGATGACTTTAACAACAAGGAGAAGGACCCTAGTAGCGCCGCTGCTTCTGACGCGGCGGCTACTGCAGGATCGTCATCAACGTCGCCGTCACCGTCACTTGGCTGCCTTTTGCACGTCAAGCGCTACCTCACCGGGTGGGTGGACGCGTAGAGATACACGTACACGCTAACGTATTAAAGGTGCAAGCTCGACCCTCGCCCTCGTTCTGCCCCACAAATTGGAGAACCGCCTCTCCCTACCTTGCTCGTGGACATGCGCCAGCCGTGCACGCATCGCAATCCCTAACGCTGCAAGTACATAGCGCGGAACAAAACCGTGGGGGCTCTGTGATGCTGAGCTGTCACACCGCACGGGCCGCCGAGGACGTCGCGGACCACACACAAAAACTCGAGTTCGCGCTCTCACTCAAAAAAGAGCGGTGTCGTGTATGTCCAACTGGAGAAATCAGAGGGATATATGTATCGGGATCTCCTGGGGTATGTGGTTGAATTCTGTGACCCACCGTAGGGTTGCCGACTCCGACGAAAACCAGATTGTTTTCCCCTCCCCTCCCCTCGTCCTCCTCCTCGTCCTCGTCCTCCTTTCCTCCTGACACCCACCGGTGATTTACTACACCCTGCCTAACACTATCCCCCCCGCCCCCCTCCCGTCTCCCTCTCACTCTCCGCCCTCCCGTCTGTCTGTCTGTCTGTCTGTCTGTCTTGTCTGTTTCTTTCTCTTTTTGCAAAAGGGAGAAGCGGAGGCAGGTCGAAGCTCTCCTGTCCGATGGTGGGAGCGTGACCGTGAAGTTCGGCGGCTGGAACTGGAGGTGCCGACCCTTCACCCTGGTCGCTGACTCAGAGCTAGAGAGTCTCCGCTCGAGCATCCCATGATCTACACATATTCCTCTTCCCGCATATCGTGGAGACCGACGAAGGTTCGGTTGGTCGAACCTGCTTGGGGTTTCCAAGGAACCCCGAGAGGCCGGGGTAAATAAATAATTCACGGGTTATCGGAGCTACGCTTTTTGCTCCAGTAGACGAAACAAGCCGGTCTGTGTTTCCACCCCGACTGGTGTATCTCTTTTGTTGCGTCACGTCCAGGGATTCGAGGCACAGGAAGTAGGAAGCCCCCCCCCCCCCCCCCCCCCCCCCCCCCCCCCCNCTGTTCACCCAGTTGTGGCACACAACAATTAGCCCCCCCCCTCACGGCGCTTCGCGCTTGGTGATTTGAGAGCCTCTGGTCCGGTGAGAACCCGGCGTGCTCCGTTCCGGCTTTGTAGGGATGCGAGGTCAACTTACGAGTACGGCATCCACGAATATGAGTAGTCTACATCCCCCCGAAGCCGCAACGAAAAGGACGGCACTTTGGCACACCGTCCTGGCGCGGGGTTTATACCTTGCAAGGTGACGTGTTTGCTGCCGACGAGGTTGCCCCAGCAGTCCGCCGCAGAACCGAAAGTCTGTCTCTGCAACTTAACACCTCGGAGTTAAGGGCCCTTTTGAAAGAATTTTCTCCTTTCTCATTGGCGTGGTGGTGTTCCTCCATCCCCCCCCCCCCGGTTGGTGACTGCTCATTGTTGTTCTCGATAAAGTTCCATTATTTCTCGGCATAGGGTCTAGGTTTAGTTCTCGAGAACGGTCCAGGTTTTCGCGCACGACGCTTAGGAACCCGCACGCGCGGGTTTTGTCGGTAAGACGTGCTTGTCGGTCCCCCCCACCTCGGGTTGTCGAGTGAAATGTGGCGGCGGGCGGGCTGCAGGAAGAAACCGGCAGGCGCTATCTTTTTGTCTTTATTTTCTCGGTGTTGCCAAATTATTCGCTGTTTTCGTTTGTCAGGGGTCGCGAAAACAGCTCGAAGGGGCTCTTCTGAACGTACATCGTGGAATGTTGTTATCGTCGATCGTGGTGCTCTGCCCCTTTGTTCGTATTGTGGTTTTGGGAACGCCATATGGCGCCATGACACATGTATTGTTTGGTAGGTAGGTCTCGCTGCCTCTCCGGTAGATCGGCCGACAGCGCTCGTTACCCCGTATGGCCGTATTGAGGTGTGATTTCGCCTTGTTTGGATTTGTGAAGGTATGTTCGTTTCACGATTTTGGACTGTGCCGTTGCCGAAAAGTTGTAACCTCGGGCGCAAGATTCTTGTGAAGTTTATGGTTCGGGCTTGTACTGCTGTGTTGATTTGCTACATGATTGTTTTCCCTTGCACGCGGCGCTGTGGCGCTACTTTGCGCGGGACTCTCGATGTTTGTGCGCTCTGGTTGTTAATAGTCGAATAAAATGCTGGCTAGCGCCACGTTGTACGATTGAGTTGGTCGCCTTTTGTGTCCGCGGTGCTGTCCATGTGTACCATAGGAAAGATCCATCCGTTGGGAAAAAGATGCCGAAATATGTTCAGCATAGATCGAACGTTTGCACGGAAGGACGAAGAAGGCGAATTTGCCACGTGTGTCAATTGTGTTGGTTTGTATTGTTTTCCGAGACTGCGTTATAGTGCAGGGTGCGATGGGCGTGCTTGGTTCTTGTTGTGCTCGTACACATGCACGCCTACATTCGTTCATGGACGACCGCCGCTGTGGACGTGTTGATTTGTGGTGTTCTCGACGACAACAAGCAAACTGGACAAACAGCTCCTCTGCTTTTGCTGTCACGCCTGGAATGGTTGCTGCTCCGACTAGGGCTGACGGGTGCTACTGAGGTAGACGGTCGACTCGTTTCGTTTGCTCGTGCTTGCTTGCCGTTAAAGCTAATGGTGTTGCCTGCGTATGCGCCAATCCCGTCGGGCTACTGCCGCTGTGGGGGGGGGGTAACGTTCTGTGTGGCACGGTAATACACCGTGTGTACATATGCCGCCAGCCTGTGTAAGCTTTTGTCAAGCCTGTGAGCACTACACTGGCACCGCGTTTTGTTCGCGATACACGCCGCCTCGAAATACACCGCAAGCGTTCAGGAGTAGAAACGGTGACAAAATTCATGGCGATACTTGGCAGAAGCGTAGGACTTGTTACCCCGGTAGAGATGGGGTCGAAGGGAAAGGACCGCGTTGAGGAGCAACAAACTCCAACTCCGTGGACAAGATCTTTATTTTGGGAGGAGATTCGATGTCGTCCGGGCGCGCTCTTGGCTCATGGTTGCGAAGCCTGTGTGGCAGCATCGACGGTCTATGGGACCTGTGTGTCCCTGAATAGTACACAGACTCTGTCGGTGTGTGGTGGTCCAACCCTGCGCCTCGCGTGCATCCATATTGCACCGATCCACCCAAATTTCGGCTTTTAACTTTTGGTAATCTGGTCAACAAACACACAACTTACGACACTGGTACTACGCCGCCCTTTGGGCTCAGTTACGCTTCACTTCTTGGTCACCCCCGCCCTCTCAAAATAATTCACTCCTAGGAACATCTTGTACAGCTCTGCCCACACGGCGGGGTCTTTCAGGGTGCCTGCCACCGACTCCCTCGCTCGGCACTTGTCGATCCACGCCACAAGCGCGGGGACTTCGATGTCGCCCAGAGACCACCCCTGCCGAAACATGCACAGCAGAGGAGGGAACCGGATCAAGGTGAGCGAATACAAAGGAGCGAGGGGGATTTCTTCCTGGTGGGGCGGAGACAGGGTTGTGCAGTCAAGTCAAAGCTTGAATTTGTTCAGCACTCCGGTTGAGGAAGAAAGGCCAGTGAACAGCAGTTCCGATGAAATTTCATTCCCCAAAACATGCGCAGTGCGCGACCATGTCTTGAAACAAAGAAGCTTTGCCTGTGAGAGACCACAGCCAACACGCCTACGCGAGACCAAAACCAACGCCTAATGCATGAACTCGTTGATAATCCTGCCCGATAAAGGCTCACCACTGGCCTCGATGTGGCGCCCCAAAGGTCGATGAGGTTCGATCTACTTGTACAAGGTGCTCGGAGGCGTGTTGTTGCATGCGATATTTTTCCGTTGAGAAAAGGAATCTTGCGCAGAAGCATGCTCCACAGCCACACACGCAAACAGAGTGCTCCACAACCCAAACAAACGCAAAAATCATCCGAGCTACAAAAACAAACGAAACACAGATAATCTCACACTACCAATCACACCAGTAATTTATTGTTGCCAAATCAAATCTGCAACATGTCGTGTCAAAGCTTTGACATACTCGGAGCAGCAACGCAACCCAAGTCTGAGCCCATGCTACTAAAAGAGCCCAGCCCAAAACAAATATATTCAATGAATAGGCAAAAACTGGGCTGCTGATCTTCTTGCATTCACTGTAACGACATCTCCTTCGACAGCGGTTATACCTCAATCGGGTCGCCTTCTCTGTCTTTGTATGCAAATGTTATCAAAAACAAACCAACCTTGAAGGGCTCGAGGGTTGCGGCTATTCGCTCGAGGAAAGGGAAGTAGGCGACGTCCGCGAGAGTCATGCGCCCCCCCCCCGCCTCCCCGCACAACCAGCCGCAGGCCTCCCCTTCCCCCGCCGAAGCTGCGGCCCAGGCATCCAGCGCCTTGAGCTCCTTCTCCAACTTCTCGCGCTTCTCCGCCTCTTGCCCCTGCTCTCGCCAGGCAGGACAGACAGAGAGAGAGAAGGAAAACATGTCAACAACGGCGGCGACAAACAGGGTTGGTGCCTCTGACTGGCCGTCCTAGGACAACAAGTTGGTTCGGTTGAAGTCACGCGTGCGGGATGGTCAGACCAGAGAAAGGCGGCAACTGTAAGAGGGAAAACGAGCGCACGCAGCGGGAAAAAGTCCGTACTTCACAACAGCGCCAGCCACCGACCAAAATCCAAGTTGGTACCCCCCCGCTCCCGCCCCGCGTCATGGAAACGACATGGGTTATTTCTTCACGCCAAGGTGGGCGTCACATCACCCCGAGGGGGGGCGCCACCTGACCTCGTCCTTGTTGCTCAGATACGTGAAGTATGCAGTGACGAGGTCGTTGCTGCGACTGGCGACTATCCGGACCTTCGCCTTGTCCGCGGGGGACGCTGGCAAAAGCGGGGATGGGTCGTATTCTCCCCCCGGCGGAAACTTCTCGGCCAGGTACTCGTTCACCACCAGAGATTCGTAAATCTTTTCAAACAGAAAACGGAACCAAGACAGAGGCGAAGTGAGGGGCTGCATGACAGGCGGTAGTCCAATCTGCGCTGAAGCTGACGCGGAGGGATACGGTCTTGGAAGCGAGCGTGAACGTGCTCAAGAGCACGCGAAGGGTGACGGAGAACTTGAAAGGGATTTGGAAGGGGATGCTCCTTACTCGCATGGAGGAAACGCGTCGTTTCGAGTGTTCCTTCAATAAACAAGAATCACGCGCACTTTCTCTCGAGTCAGAGGCAGGCGTATAACGAGATAGATGGCCTTTCCATTATCCGCCAAGCCACCTTTCGTGGCAAAGCCGCGATATGTCCCACACCTAAGAAACCAGAGAAATATCGTACCCCAACCCACGGGTCACACGAAACTCGACACGTCTTTCTTGTTGATGACCGAAGGAGTTCGATACGCTTGCGGCACGGCACAGAATAAAACCGGTCCGTAATAAGCCGTGGGTCGCTCGAAGGTAGGCAGCTGCCATCTCTCTCTCTGAAGTACATATCAGGAAGCCTCTACACCCAGCCCCTTATCTTCATCCCTTCCAGGAGTTCGCCCGACCGAACGCCGTATGAGCTCGTCACAAACGACTTCACGACCTTGAATACTCAATCATGGGGAAACCTTCATCACCATCGTCTTGGGGACGCTGCAGATCTACTGTCCTTTGGAACACTGAAGATCTAGCCGCCACAAAGAAAAACTCAAAAGTCTCGAATGCGTACGCAGGCGAAGAACTCACTCACCACGTCGTCACCGCAGACGATGGTCGGGACCTTTCCCAACGGGTTTAGCTTCAGGAACCACTCTTCGCGGTTGTCTTTTCCGAGCTCTGTCGTGCCACAACAGGCCGCGCACGGGGACGGCGTAGCACAGCACGGCAGGGGAAGAGAGCTGTAAGGAAAACGCTCGTGCCAGGCGAACATTCCGTACCAAATATTCAACTACGAACCACCGCTGGGCAGCCGGTGAAAACGCTTCGCTTTTCCAAAAGAAACAAGCGGCGTGTGGCACCACGCAATCGGTATGTGGTATGGTTGCACTGTTCTAGTTGATGGGGCGGTTTCTGTACTTCTTCGCGTGCGCACGTGGCAAACGCCCTCAATATATTACGCACGTTTGTGGGCGATGAGACTGGGCGGTACACAAAATGTCACAAAAGCCCATGAAAAAGTATACCGGGCTACAGAAGAAAGGCGCAACAACTCGCACAACAAACGTTCAAGCCCGTCTCCTTCGCTGCTACTTTGGACATCAATCGCCGATGCCAGCCAACAACTTTATTGTCGTGGCATCCGCATGCATACGAAGAAGAAAACCATGCGGGCTACCGAACTCCTGGCATACGCCCCAAGCGCAAACCAGCTTGACATAGGACCTCGGGGGGTTTTGGATAGAGGCATTTGTTGACGCGGGGCAAGCTTACCCATGGCGTGGAACTTGAACGGCACGCCTAGCTCCCTGGCAGCGATCCTACCCACCAGCGGCAGCAAGCGGACAGACATAACGGACCGATATTGCGTGTTGAGTGGGGGTGATACGAAGGGCTTGCAAACCCGCCAATGAATAACATCGCTGAAAATGCCGAGACTGTTCAAATGATTTGAGGTTATAGGGGTGGTCACTGATCGAAAGTGACGTTCGGGCAAGAATCAAAACGAGTCGCCCCATGCAACCGCTCAAAAAGATTGAGAGCCCTCACGTTTCACGGCGCCATCCCTTTGGGTCTAGGCTGGACTGTCATATATATATTTTTTGCGCAATAAAAAAGAAATGAGAGCGAGAGCGAGCGGGAGAGAGAGAATTGCAGAGAAAGACGCCAGCGTACTTGTGCACACGCGACAGCTATCTCCACCTGTAGGCCATGAGGGAAGCCAGCGACAGGGTGGTGGTCACAGACAGGGTTGTAGAAGGGTTGATGGGTGGTCGCGCTGCGGTTAGTAGGGCAGGTTAGTTGTGTATTTCGAAATGATCAGTAGTCTAGCTGCCTCAACAAGTCTATTTTCGGTATATTGTAAATGATCAGTCCAGAGAGGGTGAGTGACCAGTGAAGTTCCATAGCTGGTACTTGTACTTATGTACTTGTCTGTTCTCTGCCCTCACCCCGAATGTGGCCTGCCAGCATTTTAGAGCTCCTGCGTTTTTCAAACAACAAGCACACCCACCAGCAGACACCTCGTGGTTTCTTAGGTTCGGGAAAGGGTATGTGTGGCGACTAGGAGCGTGGATGTGTTGCTGATTTCTTTTACGCGTCTACAGCACTAGCTGCTGACACGATGACTGCTTCATCTTGGGAACGATTTTTCAAGTTGTTAGGAGATGCAGCATACCACACGATATCCTCGATATCTGGGCTTCCGCAGGGCTTGCAATACCCCTCCCTTTTGCTGCCCTCTGCTCGTTGCAGCAGTGGCGTTCTACGTTCGGGCGAGGATGGGTATGTGTGGTGCTACGAAAGAACACACATGTATGTATTTATGTATGCACACACGTACATGTACAGACGTTTGAGAGATTCATGATTTGGCAATGATTGGCCCCATTCCCGAGACCTTGATTTTAGCCGCCGTCACTGACGTCTCTTCATCGGTCGGCCGGTAAGCGCGGGTGCTAATGATCTAGACACACCCACCTATGGACTTGCCAATAACCGGCGCGAAGGGCGGCAGGGCGGCAACTCCACGACTTGCCACTACACCAGCATTTGCAAATGATCAATCAATGATCAGTCAGAATGCCTGAAGCCTCATAGGGGACGAGTTCTTGTGAAATGCAACGCAACAGCAGTTGCTCCGAGAAAGCAGGGTTGTGGATGATGGTCCAACTCTTTCCCAAAGCACTCTCCCCGGCTGAAATTCCATGCAAGACTACGGAAGTTATTACGTGTCCATTTTACAATACTGTGTGAACGCGACAGGGGTCAAAAAGGTTCCCACACCAGGCGGAAATCTCCAAGTGAGCTCGCAGGCGGGCACATGGCATCCAGAAAAAAACAATAGCCCGGCGGACTGTATACACAGCCCAACTCAGCAGTATTGCCCGCCTGCGTTCGGTCGCGAGTCGCTCCAGCGCACCGAAGGCACGACCCCCCGCCGACGGCGAACCTGCTGTACCGATGCCCCAACATGCTGCATGAACGCTTTGAATTCCGAAAGGGACACAGGCATAACGATGCACTGTTGTTCGAGTCTACACTGCACGCCAATCCATGCCATGCATGTGTGGGGAGAAGACGATGGACCATCCCGGCTGGATTCGTCCCGCCACCGACTAGTTGATCGCAGGATTTTGATTTTTATCATTTTCTGCAGCTTGAACTGCATCTATGTTGTTTCAGCTGGGCAGCACAGCATCGGAGGGCAGCGGCATTTATCTTCCAGGGTTCTGGATAGAAGGGCGGCCTCCAACGTTTGCGGCGTCTATTGCACACGACTGCCGTTGTCAGGGCGAAGGTGAGGCGATAACTATGAGCCATCACATGTCGCCAGCCAGCTCTATCGTTCTCACCGCATGCAAACACCGACAAACTGCACTGCGACTCGTGCACGCCCCCCTCAGCAACCTGCATAGCACATAAACCAGGCCATGCTTACCATGTACGTTGCGCGTAAGGGCACTTGTCACTGCTGTACAGCGTGAAAGCTGGTTCGGCACCGCCACCATCGGCGGACATTTTCGTAGCAGCAGCAGCAGCAGCAGCGGGGGAAGCACGGGTAGCAGGAGTTCCTACAGCAGCGACAAAGCCCGACGCCGGGGAATTGAGCGCAGCCAACCCGGAAGCCGCCAGGAGGAGAGTCGTAGACATGTGGGGCGGGCGGTGACACACGTGGAGGGAGAGAAGCGGACGAAGGACGTGTAGGTATGGCCGGCAAATGTGGCTGCGTGTCAGAGACCGTCAGAGCGACCAATAGACCAAAGAAAAAGGTTCAGTGTTCGAACCAACATCCTGCAGCTCTCTTGAACACCCTCCAGGCGCGGCCACCGCGCCACCGCGGTACGACACCAGCGACTCTGGTCAACATACACACGCGCTACCATGCCAAGCTCCACAGGACCGAGGATGGTCTCCTACGCTGCCGTAGCTCTGACCACGCTGCTGCTGCGGTGCTCGGGATTCACGATGACGGCTGCCCCGAAGGGTCCTCCAACGAGCGCGAGCAGAGGGGACTTCTTGAAGAGCGCAGCGATTGGCATCCTTGGAGCCGGCGTCGGAGTATCGGCGGCAAGCGTCGCGGTCGAACGGCCGGTGCTGGAGAGTGCGGAAGCGGCGGATCCCTTGGTGGAGACATGTGAGGCCTTAAGAGTGATGCCAAGAGACAGTGGTAGAGACGGAGAGAGCGTGAGAGCAGGGTACACAACGATGATGAATGTGCTGGTTCGGATCGATCATGTTTGCCGACTGACGTGTTGCAAAGTGTCTGTACTGCCGTCAGGGCTTGCCCTGGGGCGAGCAAAGGGGAAGAGTGGGTGTGGATTCGCAATACGCGTCGTGGTGATTTGAGGAACTTGTTGTGGCCGGCCTGTTAACTTGAGGAGAGGAGACAAGGAGAGAGAGAGCAAGACTACTCTATGAAAAAGCAAGCCATTTTGGATTCAACCATCGGCGCGAAGCTGCACGAGGCGCACCACATATACCGTTGTTCCCGCCGGTTACATGAAGAGGTTCAGGGCGAGGGTTATCGCTAATCGCGTACAGACGTCTAGGGTGCAGTCTTAGCATCTTTTTGTAGAAAGGCTGTACATGAATCGGAAACTGCGCTTTGACCTGGTGCATTTTCGAAACGGCACGCCACAAAATCTGACAGCGACTTACACCCCAACCGTTACATTTTCGAGATAATCTACCCAGCGAGCACTTAGACAACAATGGGTTATGACGTCGGAATTCCACGTGTTTCGATCAGGCTGGTAAGATACGGCTGTAAGTGGCATCGCAAGGCGCAAAGTACACCGATGGATATCGACCTTACTACATAGTCGTGACGTGCTGTAGCCGACGATTGCGTGGCTGCTCTTCTCGTCGTGGTATCTGCGCGGAGGAATGGGGTGGCCGCAGTCACAGCTTTGGGTGAGTATTTGAGTTCTGCATGCTCAGACGCACGAGTCTGCGCAACAGTTGTTGGTTCAACCTCAGAGACGTGTGACATGAATGGTCACCCTCGTTCTAAGGCCCAACCTTAAGGCCTGTTCAAACGTTAAAATTGCACCTAAATTGAGGCCCTGCAAAAAATAAGTTGCGGGGGGGTGCCGGGGGCCAAGACGCCGATTGGTCACCAGGAAAAAACACGATGAGGCTTTCTCTGCCCGTAGAAGCGGGACTTCGATATTGGGTGCACCAAGAACAATTGCAAATCGAATTGTTTTTTGCTGACTCGAAGTACCCGTGTTGCACTGCACCCCTTTTGCACCCCCGGTGATGAGCTGAATTCGTGTTGACGTTACCCTGACTGGACCGCATGTGACACACTGGCCGTGCTGTACCCACACGCATTGCCCACTGCCCGTCGCTCGCTGGGAAATAGCTGTATTGCAATGATTCTGTGAGCGCGTCAACTTTTCGCGCTGGTTGGGTTGCTGTGGAGGTTGCTTTCCAATATGTGCAATGTCAAAAGTCCACGGCCGGTTGTGTGCAGCGAGACAGTCCAAACAACAGCTGTAGAGCAAGCCTGAGGAGGAGGCTTTGGGCCGCTGACACCGCTTGCTGATGCTTAGCCTCGTTTGTGGGCTGATATTTTTACAGCTCCCATGTGGTGCATGTGGTCTATCGCTCTACCCGGTTGGTCACCACGTCACCTCGCGGCAGCGATGCCGCCGCGTTTGGGTGTTGCTGAACCTCGATGTGTCAAAACTTCGTTGAAACGACGCAAGCCCTTTTCGCTCCAAAACCCAATCAGGTCTCCCAAATTGGGTCGTCAACTTAGGTGAAAATTTGTAACGTTAACACAGATCCTTACCCACGTTCGATGGATGAACCATGGATGATGACCGCAACATCAATTGATGGCATACACCCCCCTCCCCGCCTGCAGACTGGGGGAACGGCTGCTTCTGGCATGTGCAGCATGAGATGATCAAGGCAGAGCAGGCTATCCTCGGCAGGTCCGTGATATGTTGACGTGCTTGCCTCTATTGTGACTGGCCCCGATCTGACAGTTTGCGTTTCCACAATTCGTTTGTTCCGCCACCGTTGACTTCTACCTACCTCCAATGTGTTTGATTGCCTTACCCGTCTTGCAGCCATTTATTCCCAACCAGTACGAGACTAATGGTTTACGTGTTCTGTTGCTGTGGCCCTTGCCCGGTGAATAGCCTGGTGTCCATTCAAACCCGACCGAGATGCACGAACTATAGGGGTCCTAGCCGACGTGGATGCTGCAGTCCCTACACATACAATCAAGATCGGGACACCCGTGCACTTTCCGCCTGCTTTACTTCCTCTACATCGCCCTGTAGGTCCACCGATGAGCTGACTTCCTACGCGGGCTACGGTGGGGCGAAGAAAAACTTCCAAGGGGACAAGCTGTGTTACCACAACATGCGAGGGATCGGCGACTACGGCAAGGCCGGGGCCGCGGAGGTGGGTGCGATTTGTTTACACATCAAACGCATTACTCGGAGGTCCATCGGTGTTCACCCCTCTGCGCTGTTTCAACAACTTCAACTTAACCAGGTGTTTGATTCATAGTCGTGCGCGGCGATCAGCGTAGCTCCATCATGAGATCCTGTCGTGAAAGAGGGTGCTTGAGGACAAGCGAACACACGTGACAGTCGGAGGCTGTATCAGCCTCCGAGAGGTTCCGATTCGAAAAAGCACTGCAAGCTTTTCATGGCTCACTTTAACAAACACTAACCATCGCCGTATGAGGTGGAGAAGCTCAACGTTCGAGCGCCGATCGTCTTCGTCGTCGTACCGGGGCGTGTAAATCGGTAAATGTGTTCTGGCGGTCTCTCCTTGTTTCTCACTCTCTGAGTGTTGCGACACGATATGCAACTTTTGTGATCCCGACACGTGCTGCCGTGGCTGTGGGCCAGGTCGTGTCCGTGACAATTCCTTCGTCGAAATTGCCCGAGTTTTCGAAGGCGTACTTCGACATGTTCGTAAAATACGACAACGGCGCCGGGCGAATTTTCATGGATCGGCGGGACCCTCAGGTCAGACAGGGAGATAGATCGACAGACAGATACATGCACACGAGCTCACGCTGTTATTGCTGTGAATGGGTCGCGCAGATGTTTTGAACCCACCCGGGTACCTGGCGCTCGTTTCTGCGGTACAAAATGCTTGTGATGATATCTTTTCGCCGTCGCTTTTCCCTCCAGCATCTGTAGATTGATCACTCGTCCCTTCATGATTCATTGGAGTATTGTTTTCGTTGTGTCCAGGATCGAGGAGGGGAGTATAGGTCTCTGCTGGGCGTGCCGGGTGGGCTCTCGGGGCCACTGGCAGATCCCATCAAGCAAGAGGCCGCCGCGCGGGGGCTGGCGCTGAGGGAGGGGAACGGAGGCGATCCTGACACTCTCATGAGGAACACGGTGAGTGGGACGGCAGCACTGCTTGTTGGTCGTCTGATCTGTTGTGTGCGTTCGTTCATTTTGCTGCCGATGTAGAGAAACGGCCAGGCGGCGATCACGACCGCGACATCATGATCCCACCTCATCTTCGACACGTGTGTGCGTGTGTGTGTTATTTGGTTTGAAGGTATTTGTCATGGACACGGCGACGTTCCCGTTCTTCAAGGGCGAGATTTACCACCAGTTCCACAACGACATGTCTGAGGACTACGGCCGCAAGTACAACAACCTCCGGAAGCAGTACGCCGAGGAGGGCACGATGCAGGAAACTGGCTGCCCCGAGAAGTTCATGTAGTACGAAGAAGCATCGCTTCGCTTTGTTTAGAGAGAACCACACGAAACGAATAGCCCCCTTCGGCGAACCCGCAGCCTCGAATGCGATGGGTTGTTCAATCGGTGTAATGGTGCGGTGCAACGGCTTGATTGCACGGGCAGATAGATACATGCGGTTGTCGTTAGTGTTTGGGGGCTGAAAGCACTTGCGTTCGAACTTACCCAAAGTCTTGGGCCCTGCTCAGGCGAGGTTTGGTGTGAGTGCGCTCCTCCTCAGCTCAACTCCTCGGCCATGTGTGGCCCAAGCGTTATTGCGGGTAGATGCTGTGTTCTCTTCTGTTCGGTGCCTTCCAGTTCGGTAAAATGGGAGTGGCGAGCAGGAGGAAAGCCCCAGGGTTACCATGGGGGAGTGAATCGTGTGGCAGAGTTAACCGTCAAGAAGTTCGCTGCTCGTTGGGTGTTGTTCTAGAAAGATAGTTGTTACTGTGCAGGCGGGTATAGCATGTATTGCTATTGCAGTATTTCCCGTGGAGCCGAAAATGACGTGACACGTTTAGGAAGCAGCAGTAGAGGTTGAGAAGGTCAAGATACAGGAAACCAACTTGAGATTGCAGAAAGATTATTATTTTTGCGTTTGTTTACCCTCGTCTTGTGTACCTTGCCCAATAGCCGTTGTCAACCCACACGAGCGTCAACGCCCGATGACTCAATTTGAATGACCTTGCCTAGGCTCCTGGACTGAAGAGCAAGGCCGTGCAGGTTTGACCAAGTCTCAACAGGGTGCCCTCGGGGGGGCCGTGAAAGGCATCTACTGCTGTAGTTTCCACCACGCCGCAGCGGAAGCTGCGTGTGCGTTTGTTTAGCGTGCGTGGTGTACGCAAGTTTGTTTTTTGGGGTGCGGGCGGGTTTCGCAAGAGCACGTGAAGGGCGGAAGACGTTTTCTCATCCACTAGATGGTTGGAATATCGCCTAGTTAAGCGCCCTCTGCAGACCGGGGCAGTCCCTCGGTGCAGTCTCTGATCAGGGTTGGAGTATGGCAGAAGCCGTTGTCCGATGGTGTTGCCGAAAAGTTTTAACATCATTTCTTCCGTGATCTCTCCAGCAATAAACAGTAGTAGAGGACAGTCGGACACCGAATCTCTATTGGTCAGACTGGTCTCAAGCTACACCTGAAGGCACTACGACAAAAAAGACCTGACCGGAGTCCCACCACGTTACTGGCAACTGGTAATACAGAGGTGCTTGAAAGATAAATGTATGTTGCGTCGTACGCATTGTAGGAGCTAACGAGCACATACCAGTCCAACATCAGCATCCAGGAGATAAAGGGGAAATGAAGCGCGTTGAACGTCAGCCCCGTTCCTAGGTGCAGCTCGACCAAAATATGTGCAGTATGGATGAATAGAAATGCAGTAGGTACGCTTGTCTGACGAGAACCGCAAAAACGTACTGTAACTCGCTGTGTTTAACCTGGAAACCATTTCATAAAACACGGTTGTGGTTCATTGCTACAGTATTGGTGCCCGGACTCATATCCACCCGTGCATGGAAAACTCTCTCATTCTCTCTCTCTCTCTCTCTCTCTCTCTCTCTCTCTCTCTCTCTCTCTCTCTCTCTCTC